TTGTGTTATTGTTGGCAATATCCAGTTATATGAGGGAATAATTCTACTATTTTAGTACTCAGTCTTGCCGTCGTTAAATAAGCATAAGAAGGTTAATTTATTAATATGCACATTCCTAAACCAGGGGCGATATGTAGCGTTTCATTCGAAATAGAAATAATATGTAGGCCAAGCTATATAAGGAACCGCGAAGGAAGGGGCGAGGAAGTGACGAGAGGTCTAAAGGTCGTAAGGTATGCGTGCGTGTCTGTAATTATAACTTCAGGATCCTTCTTCACTGAAACATTACACATATTCTCCTGTCTAACTAAGGTCCCCCCATTCTTTGATAATATTATGTAACCTAATAAATTATTTATCGGGGTTAGGAGCTTCATGGGGAGCAATGCCCTTTTCTCACATAGTTCTAATTTCTATTTGTAGCGTAAGAACGACCTCGATAACTATACCATGTCCAGTGCGAACCGACTATTCCTTTAGTTTCAGTCTCAACAAGTATGAGATCCATGTGTATCCATAACCATTTTTTTCTTTAATAATCATAAAGCATCCTTCATTATTCCAGTAACTATACTTTGCCAAGTAATCTATACACCCTGTTACACTGTGGGTTTTTATTTCCCTGTAAAGAAAAATGTACATTTCCTGTTTAACTTACTAGTACAAATTTACACCATACTTACAGCCTGGTATTCACCCCCTCGGCTTATCAAATCTATGAGACTGCTTCCCGTTTTACATCTCTTCCCCATTCACTCGACATTTTTCATTTAACTTCGTTAATCTTTCAGTTTTCTACCTAAGCCCCGGTAACTGTATTCTATATAGACTATATTTTAATTTCATAATACAATTCGTTACATTTGCTCTATTTACCGATTTTTTTTTTTCTCAAGATCTCCTTTCCTCACTTTACCGCATCTTAATTTCTCTATTATTTGTAGTTTCCCTCTCTTTATCTGTATATTGACTTCTCGAGGTTGTATTGACTCAACTTTACCGTGCTTAAACTGTTTATTACCGTTCTTCAGTTTACAATATAATTATTCCTCCGTCTTCTTCATTGCCTAATTCCTCGGCATAATACGTCACCTCTCGTCACTTGGTTATGTCTCAGTCAAAAAAAGTCTCTTTGCGCTTTATTTACGTTCGGGTGACTGCATATGATCATTGCTTTGGTTGCTTCTGGTATTTCCTATCTCTTCCTTCTCTATTCTGCTTCGCTGATAATAATTTCCGGATATTATCTAAATTTACCCCCTGAGATTTATGCATAACTATGTCATTTGCTTGCTTTGTATCATAATGATGCAGCAATAAAAGAAAAAAAAATCGTTTTTCTAATGTATTTACAACCCTTGGCTAAAATCTGTAATCATAATATATAGATATATGTATGCGTACAAATACTCTCTCTCTCTCTCTGCACACACACACACACACACACACACACACACCACACACGCAACACCACACAACACCCTATACACATACACATACACATACACATACACCCAACACCACACACCAACACACACACACCACACACACACACACAAACCAACACAACACACACACGCACACACACACACAGCACACACACACACACCACAAACACACACACCACAACACACACACACCACAACACACACACACACACACACACACAAACACACACACACACACACACACACACATGTATATACATACACTTATATACAGAATATATGGTTGCATGTGTTTAAAATAAGCAAACAAACACAGACAAGCACATTTATTTCCATAAGCAAATCGCTTGATTTCGGATACTTGAAATGTTTTTTCCCTGTCAGTATAGTGACATTACTTTTAATTTCCCGAAAATGCAAACCGACAATAATTCTAAGTACAATAACCCATTCCCCGGACTGAAAATGTTTAACCGGAACTTGTTCACATGACCCGGCTTGCTAACTAGTCAGGCCTACCAGGAAAATGAAGCAAATATTCATTCAAGTGTAACTGGCATTAAATGACATTAACCGTTTATTTTGATATTAAAATAGACGTAGGATACCATACTGGTAGTTATTTTTGTGTTAGTTATACAAGTCAATGAAAGTAACCAAGATTTTATGTTTGTTTACATGCGAATAATTCGGAAACGTTGGTACTGGTAAAAGTCAATATAAAACCTACATTACAATCCCTTCGATAAATACTAATCGAAGATCCAATAAGACGAAATTCACAATAATCATCTTGAAATCAATGTAGAACTACTCTAATCAGTCCGATTTAATTTCGCAGGAGAGTGATAAGTCAGGCACCGAGGAGAGCAGAGAGCAGACGAAGACCCAGAGAGGCCGATGGAAAGATGGCCGACTCGATGAAATATGTGAAGCTGAAGCGGAGTGAAACGTGTGGCTTTGGGTTCTCTATCCTCGGAGGAGCCGGCTCGGAACTCCCACCGATCATATATGACATCATTGAGGGCTCTCCGGCTGCTAATTCTTGCCAGGTAACCATAAAGATGAGTTCTTTGCCCTTTGAACTTGAGGTGGTGGTGTTCTTCCAGTTCTTGCTCGGAGATCAACATGTTAAAAAGTAAATGTCGTAAAGCAAACCGTCGTTGTCTATTCCACTAAAGTTCACGCCCCTGACAGTGCTCTTTGATCAAAACATACATAATTTCACTTAATGCCGTAGTTGAAATGAGTGAGATATACACGGCATCATAGACGAGTGTGCTCAAGTTCCTCTTAACCCCAATGTTGTCCCGTGTTGTTCTTACATTTTATTTTAATTTGATGTCTTTCGTTTTTGATGTCTGCAGAGCATGAATATACATTCTTCTAGCATATGTATGATAATTCTTGTTTATGCACGACTTTATACAGTTTTGTTCACTGAAGTTGATGTTCTCCTATGTCTTGCGAGATGACTTTATTCCAGATGAGATCAGGAAGTTTGGCCTATAGATTACGCAGATATTACTCTTGTGGTTTTAGGAACTGACATGACTATCCTCTTTTTTTTTTAACTTCTATGAGGCATTATAGAAGCCAGAGAATTATTCTTTAATTACTTTAAATATAACTAAGAACTCTTATGTTTTCAAAATTAGGCAAAAGGAGGGAGGATTTAGCTATTATATATTTTTATATTTTCTCTGAAAGCTGCATATTTACAAAATTACTTATTAACAGGAATTGGACAAGGAATATCAATTACAATTTAGAGACTGGTACTAAGACTTTGTATATGTTTTTAACATTCATGCGTTTCTGTTTTTTTTTTAACTAGTACATCAAGATTGATAGATTTCATTTTGTAAGATGTGATGTATTAACCTTATGCATTATTTTCACATAGAATATTGCTGTATTTCAGTTTCAGACATTCATACATCAGTCAGTATGCTATCAACAAATTGATGAATTGAGACGTTTTTCTTTTATAGATATAATTGCTACAAAATGAAGAGAAAGATATTTATTTTAGAATTAAAAACCTACTTTGGATCATAGTGCTCCAGCCCATTGTGTGATGATTTAGAGGGCTCCTTAGTGATATATCATCAGATAAGGAACCGAGGGCTTTGCCAGAGGATCAAATGTACACACACATGGTGATGACTGGATGCATCTGCCTATATGACTATATGCACTGTGGTTATGTATTTAGGCCAATAAAAGCTAGCCACAATTTTAATTATTGTACAAATTCAATTTCTTATTGTCAGTTTATGACAGCCTTGTCAAATAAGAAAAATGTCTTAGAATTCAGGAGTCTATCAGTATTATGTAGATTACCATGTATTTACTATGGTAGATAATAATATGAAGCTTAAAATAAAGAAAGAACTTATTTTACCTGTTTGTCAAATATATAACCAATAAGTATAGATAGTGTAATAACCTCCACCACCACTACCATTACCATTATCACCATTACCATCATCACTACAATCACTTCCACTATCACCACCACCATCACCATCATTATCACCATCATCACCACCATCATCACCACCATCTTCATCATCACCACCATCACCTCCACCACCATCACCATCACCACTACCACCACCACCATCACCACTACCACCACTGTCATCACCACCACCACCATCATCACCACCACCACCATCATCACCACCACCATTATCATTACCACTACCACCACCATCACTACCACCACCATCATCACCACCACCATCATCGCCACCACCGTCATCATCACTACTATTACCACCATCATCACCACCACCACCATCATCACTACTATTACCACCATCATCATCACTACATTATCACCACCACCACTACTACTATCACCTCCATCACCACCACCATCATCATCATCATCATCATCATCATCATCATCATCATCATCATCACTGCCACCATCACCATTACCATCACCACTGGCACCATTGCCACCACCATCACCACTAACACCATCACCACCACCACCATTATCAATATCACCACCATTATCACCATCACTACCATTATTATCACCATCACCACCACCATTATCATCACCACCACCATTATCATCACCACTACCACCATCACCACCACTACCACCATCACCACCACCATCACCACCACTACCACCATCACCACCACCACTACCACCACCACCACCACTACCACCATCACCACCATTACCACCATCACCACCACTACCACCATCACCACCACTACCACCATCACCACCATTACCACCATCATTACCACCATCATCACCACCATCATCATTATCACCACCACCATCACCATCATCACTACCACTATCACCATCATCATCACCACCACCATCACCACCACTACCACCACCATCACCACCACTACCACCACCACAACCACCACCACAACCATCATCACCATTACTATCATCATTGATATTAATATTATTATTTTCATTAGTAATATTATTATTAGTAGTAATATTGTTAACATAATTGTTAATACTCATAGTGGTAATAGTAGTAGTAATATTGTTATTACTAT